CTTAACCCTATATAAGTACATGTGGTTAATTAATGACATTATCTTGAATTTGGGGGGTATTTTTATTCATTTTGGTGGCCCCAAGCCCCAGATTTTTTGTAATTTTTTGTAATTTTTGTAATTACACTGTAAACACTTCACCTTAAAATAAAGCGTGGCCAACTGATGTTCTTGTCCACAGCACCCGGCACAACTATTAAAATAACTGTACACATCCGAGACTAAATTTCTAGCTGAAGAAAGCATTTGCTTAATAGAATATGATTTTAATTAGTAGTGCTAAACTATATTGGCCAGAGTAATAAATCAGCCCATATTTGGCCATTTTTATATGATAGTATTGGCTAATAACTGTGTTTGCTCAGCTGGTTTTAAACTGGCATTGGATTTCCTTTGTTATCAGATCCAGAATCTACCAACAGCCTTGTAAATGAATAATTCACAGTTTCTGTTTGAAAGTTTTTGGTGAATTTTCAGAAAACATTCTATAAGACAAGTAAGATTAAATTTTTGCAACTATGAGTCTCAACTGTTTTAATAAACTGCATTAGCCTGTATCTCATATATGTGACCCTGGACCACAAAACCAGTCATAAGGGTCCATTTTTTGAAATTGAGATTTATACATCATCTGAAAGCTGAATAAATAAGCTTTCCATTGATGTGTTAGGATAGGACAATATTTGGCCGAGATACACCTATTTGAAAATCTGGAATCTGAGGGTGCAAAAAAATCAAGATACTGAGAAAATCGCCTTTAAAGTTGTTCAAATTAAGTTCTTAGCAATGCATATTACTAATCAGAAATTAAGTTTTGATATATTTACAGTAGGAAATTTACAAAATATCTTCATGGAACATGATCTTTACTTAATATCCTAATGATTTTTGGCATAAAAGAAAAATATATAATTTTGACCCATACAATGTATTTTTGGCTATTGCTACAAATATACCCCAGCGACTTAAGACTGGTTTTGTGGTCCAGGGTCACATATATCGGT